CTGTGCCAGTACCATGCTGTTTTGATTACCACAGCTTTAGTATATTTTTGGGTCAGGGAGTGAGATGCCGCCCACTCCACTCTTCTTGTTCAGAACTGCTTTGGCAATACGGGGTCTTTTATGATTCCAGACAAACTTTATGATTGTCTTTCCTAGATCTGTGAAGAATGTATCTGGTAGTTTGACTCTTAATAACACTCTGTCTCCAACCTCTCAAGATGGAAACACTAGAAAGCTTACTTCCAACCGCTACTCCCTGCCCAGCAGTCTGGATCTATAGCTATAGAGAAGTACTAGTTGGTTACGAGTTATATAGAAGACTGAGTAGCAGTTGATTTAACTAGGTAACTGGTGTCATATTTTCTCTTTGGGAAGACCTGGCTCAGCAATAACCTATGCTAAATGCTTTTGCTTTCTAAAACTTTACTTTTTTTTTTTTTTGGCTATCTTTGGCTACCTATCTGCTGAGAGTTTAATCTAATTTCTTTATAGTCCATCTATTTGGGTTAATTTATCTCACTTGGAAATGATAAATTTATTTTTTATTTTTAAATAATTTTTAATTTAACTTTGTTTATTATTATTTTCCAATTTGATAAGAGAGAGAGAGGGAAAGTGAGAAAGCAAGCCACCAGGTTCGGGACTCAAACTGTGGTTGGTCATGTGGGAGTCCAGCACCTTTAACCACCACGCCACTTGCCAGCCTCAGAAATAATAAATTTTATTTAAGTCTTTTTGCTATAGGATGCATACACTCACTGGAGAGAGACAGAGAGAGGGAAAGTGAGAAATCACCCCTGGGGGGAAGGCCATGCTAAAATCCTTTCTCCTCCATTCTCCTCTTGGGATTTTGGACACACATGCATATGTGCCCAGCATGTTTTTCAAGCCGTGGGGTCCAGGATTTGAACTGTGTGTCAGTTATATGGGATATGGTGCTTTAACCACCATGCCATTGGCTGGTCTAAGAAATTTTATTTAAATGTAAAAAGTTGATAATGTTGAGTGGCCCAACAAGTGTGACGTTCAAAGTGCTCCAATAAAACAAGAAAATTTGGTAGGAATGATGCTGGGATTTGAGGGAGCCCTTTAACTCACACAGCTCTTTCCTGCTCTAGTCTTGAACTAGTTGAGAAGTAAGACAAAAGAGCAAGACCTGTGGAGACTATAGCATCCCTTTTAGTATAAGTAAAGTGGATCCCGGCTGGCTTCAGCGTCCGGCTGAAGCTCCCTTCCCCGCCCCAGATACGGGGCAGTGCTGCAGCGCTGGCCTGGGGTAGGGCCTTCCCTCTCCAGGACTGAGCTCTTCACTAGATGCGAGGACATGGCGGAACCTGTTGTGGGATAAGAGGGTGGACTGGCTGCCTCTGCTTGGGTTGCTCTTTGGAATTCTCCAATCTGTGAGCCATGCTACAGCTCTGGTGTTGAAGGGAGCAGGGGGAGTGAATACAGCCAGGAGTGTACCCTGAAGGAAGTGAAGGAAACCTCAGAAAAAGGGAAGAGACAGTCTCCTAACAAATAGGAAGGGGAATGGAAGCCTTGGTTCTCCCTCTTTGGGAATTAATTTGGTATTTGTATTTAGTGTCTATAACCGGGTCGGCAGATATGTAAATTAACTGGCTTTTGTTCTGTTTCCATTTTTAGATTCTTGATTACCAGAACAGCGCCTTCTTTGGTGGAGACTGTATATCCATGATTGATTACCTCCTCTGGCCCTGGTTTGAGCGGCTGGATGTGTATGGGATAGCTGAGTAAGACATTTGACCGCGTGGTTGTGATTTCCTGGAGTTGCACATAGTGACAATGGTTGGAATGGTCTGTGTGCCATTAACCCTCCCCGTGGACGTGTTTCAGGATGTATGTGAAATGGCGTTAGGGTTCCAACCACTGGTCTGTGCTCCTTGTTAAAAATGCACCTGTGCTCTCCTACCACCAGCTCCAGGCCCACGCTTGACCCACATTTCTGCAGATAAGACCCTATGAACTCCCACAGAGCTTATGAGTCTGCCATCCTCACCAGCCCACCCAGGTGCACGCTGCTTGAAGAAGCAGACGGGGCGGCATGGTCAGTGTCTGACACCTTGTCTGCAGGCTGCTTGGTGGCCCTCCACCTAGTCCTGCAGGGTCACCCAGCAGACACCATATACCGTCACATCTTAGTTCCCTAAGGAATCTGTCTCCCTAGATACAAAAGTCCCTTAAAAAGGGGGGAAAAAGATTTAAAAAGTAATATGTATACTTGATGTTGAAACATACAAACAAAATGGCAACCACACACCAAGAAGGTGTAGGGCCTTTAAAGCAGAAGAAATTGCTGGGGAGGGTCCCAGGAAGGACTTGTGCTTTGTTACGTCAAAGCTCAGAGAAGTTGAATGTGAGCTGCCATCCACCTGCTCTAATCCCAGGCCAGCCACAGGCTGGGTGGAGGAAACCTCAGTAAAAGGAAGAACCTTTCTCCTAACCACACTAGAAATTTCTGGTGTTGGGAAATCTGGTCCTGCTGAGGCAGTTTTGTGCCTGGACCCCCATCGTTGGCCCCCGCACTTCTGACCTCAGCCCTCTCTGAAGGGAGATCAGGTCAGATGTAAATTTTGGGGTATTTTAAGCTCGCCCATAAAGATGACAAAAGCCACAGATAAGGAAACCTCTTTCTAGTCTCAGATTTCCCGCGGACCAGTTGTATTATCTTGAGCATGCCGCTTTACGTCCCCTAATTTTCCCGACTGATCTTTGAATGGGCCCTGTTGGCTTCATTATTTCAAGATTTCATGATCATTTTATTAATGTAAAAAAAAAAGTGCTTTGGAAATGACTTGCCTGTATCTTTTTCAAAACCTCTGAAGTTGAGTCTGAGAATGACCCATAAATGTTTGGTTTTTTTTTCGTTGGAACACAATGAAGCATTGACCCCCCTTTTTTTCCCCTATAAGCCCACAAATATGTCTCTGTATTGTTAGAAGCAATGACTTCTACCATTTGAACACATATACAGCTATTCTAAAAATAGGATTTTCCTCCAGTAAATGCTCAAGTTCACTTGTTAACTAAGATAACTGTATAGCCAAAGAAACCTGTTTTTTTGTATCTTGTCAGTCCAAAAGACCACGCCTGTCCCTCTCTCGGTGCCCTCCACCTGGGTGTGCTGATGCGCTTTTCCTGTCTTGCAGCTGCGTGAACCACACCCCAGCACTCCGGATCTGGATGGCCGCCATGAAGCGGGACCCCACAGTATGCTCTCTTTTCGTAGATAAGAACATTTTCCTGGGCTTCTTGAATCTCTATTTCCAGAACCACCCTAATGCCTTTGACTTTGGGCTACATTGCTGAGCCTCGCAGTGCACCCCTTCACTGCCCAGGATTCCCAAGAGAGGCCTAATTCTGCATCAGGGATTGTCCCGGGGGAGAGGTCAGTCGCTCTCTTTCGTGTCCCCAATAAAAATGGAAATGGAAAATGCTTTCTTTCCCATAATCATTGGTCTGAGTCCTCTAGCCTGTAGCTTGTAACGACTCTGCAGAAAATGCCGTAGCACAGCCATCCGAGCACATTTCTGGTGCCTGTGTGCCTTCCCGGCTCCTTGGCCTCTGATCCAGTTTCACTCCACATTTTTGGCACTGGTGCCGGTGCCATGGTTCAGGGTCTACCTGTGATTGACATTTGCTGCTATGGACTGGGACTCTCCAAAAAGTCTCCCTGGTGAGAGGAAAGCCTAGGAAGAGGGAGGAAGAAAAAACAAACACTGCAGCTCCAAACACTGTCAGTTCGGCAAGCGAACACTACTGTCCATGTGGGGGTATGTGTGTGTGAGTATCATTCTCTTTCCAGCTTTGGCCATGAGCCTGGGAGACACCAAAGGTCTTGTGACTGGAAAGAATTCCAAAGCAGGAAACGAAACACCCGTTATCACTCTGGAGTAATTACGTCAGAGTGTCCCTGGTGCTGTCAGAGCTCAGGATGTCTCATGACATGTTCTATAGCCGGCATCCTGCCTAAAAAAAGAACACACGCCCCCCAAAGCCAGTTACAGCAAAGGTCACTGTTGGATTTGTGTCACACACACTTTTAATTCAGCCCAATAAATGCCTCTGGTTGCCTGTTGTGTATGAAGCCCAGGGCCGTGTAGATGAGGTTGACACAGACACAGGCTCTCTCCAGGGATCCCCTCACCTCTCCACTCATCTGGAGGTATTTTTGCTGGAGAGAGAGAGACAGAGACAGAGAGAGACAGAGTGAGCAATCACCCCCTACACCCCCTAGAGGGGATAGTCACATCACAATCCCTTTTCCTCCATTCTCCTCCCAGGATCTTGGGCACGCACATGCATCTGGGTGATTTTCAAGCCACCAGGTCCAGGACTCAAACTATAATTAGCCAAGTGAGAGTCCAGTGCTGTAACTGCTCTGCCATCTACTGGTCCCATCTTGAGGTTTTAAACCCAGTGCTTTGGAGCTGCTTGTCTTGGAGTAAGACTTGGCTGCGACATGGCTCCTCTGCTGGCTCAACCAGGCAGTCCTGGACCACCGAGGACGAGCGCTGAGGATGGCTGGGTTCGCAGGCAGAAGCTGATTCTGAGAGCTTCTATCACCAACAATACAGGAGGGGGACAAGGCCGGCCACCGGCATGTCAGCCCAATGTCCGGGGACCAGCCCGTGATCACTCAGCTTCGCTCACACCCATGTCCTCCCAGCCTCCAGCCACGCTCAGATGCAGGCAGCGGCAGAAGCGATGTGACTTGTCTGTGCCCACTCGGGACCTGCCCTGCCTCTGACTCAGTTCAAGCCAACCCTCCTTTCTCCCCCGTCTCAGCCTAGCCTGCCATCTGCTGGCTCAGGGTGTATTTTGACCCATGTAAATAGTTACCAGGTGCTACTCTGTGCCAGTTGGACAGAAGCAAGCCTTCTTGGTGAGGTGGCCTGGCCAGCCAGAAGAGGCACAGCATGACAGGGACAGTCTGCAGTACCATCTGCTCCGGATGTGGCACCCTGTTGCCATGGCACCCGAGCTAATGCAGAGTGAAGTCTATGAATCACTGTTTCCCTGGGATCTTTACTTGGGAAGAGAACCATCTCCTGTGGCCTCTCACAGGACTGAGGGGACTGATCAGCCTTTGCCAGGGTGAATCCTCTAGAGGATTTACAGAGTGCTAGCGAGTGTTTGGCGTTCGACCAGAATTGCTGTTGGAACAATAGAAAATGGCATGTCTCCAGGTGACCCAAACAAAGGGGTTCTCTTTTGAGGAATCCATATACCAATTGAGAAAGCTTGAAGAACCAGGGAATAAAGGGTGGAGTGAAGTGCATGTGCCCCCAGCCCAGCTTGGGACTCGAATGCCTTTTGGCCAGGTGTGCTCTCTGCAGTTTGCTGGGGTCCTACCAGCTGTGCTGCTTTCTTCCTCCTCACTTCCCCGTGTTACCCGCCTGACCCACAGAGAAACTGAGTGTGAAGCCCCTGATGAAACTAGGAGGATCAGGCCGGCAGGTTGCATGGTGGTTAAAGGTGCTGGATTCCCATATAGCCAATAGTGGTTCAAATCCTGGACCTGGCGGCTTGCTTTCTCGCTTTCCCTTTCTCTGTCTCTCTGGTCAACTTAAAAAATAATAATAACTGGGACCAGCAGTGGGCATAATGTCTATGTCACTGGACTCCCATGTAGTCGACCAGAGTTCGAGTCCAGACCCGGTGGCTTAAACTCATGCCAGGCACGTGTGCATGTGCATGCCCAAGATCCTGAGAGGAGAATGGAGGAGAATGAATTGCAGCGTGGCCATCCCCCCTGGGGGGTGATTTCTCACTTTCTGTCTCTCTGTCTGTCTCTTTCTCTCTGGCAAGCGCATGCACCCTGTAGCAAAAACCTCTAATAATAATAAGTGGAATTAAATAAATAAATAATTAAAAAAAAAAAAACCTAGGAAGATCTAACGTGCAGAAAAGAGGGAAAGACGAAATTAAACAATGCTCCATGAAGAGCTTTTAAAATACAGTGTTCTTATTTGAGGGTAGGGGTCAGAAATAATAATATAAGTTCAAAAAGATACAATAATATAGAACCAGCAGTTAGCGTAATGGCTATGTCGCTGGACTCCCACGTAGTCGACTGCGGTTCGCGTCCCGGACCTGGTGGCTTAAAACTCACGCTGGGCACGTGTGCGTACGTGCCCAAGATCCCGAGAGGAGAATGGAGGAGAAGGGATTGCTGCGTGGCCATCCCCCCTGGGGGGTGATTTCTCGCTTTCTGTCTCTATGTCTCTCTCTGTCTGCTGGGCGAGCGCACGCGCCCTTATAGCGAAAACCTCTCAAAAAAAAAATACAATAATATAAAAACACAGGAACGCTTCCATTACCTGTGTCCCAGAGATCACCACTTTTAACGAATGGTGTTGATTTTAGAAAAAGTACTTTAACTGAGCTTGAAGGGTTTAAGATGAGAACCATCATCTATCTCCTGCATATTGGAAAAAGAAAACTGGTGTAAACCACAGCATCGGAAAACTCATTTTCATAGGTGTAACATCGGCATCCGCAGCCAGAAGAGACTGTGTCGAGTTCCCTTCCTTGGAGGTTCTGAACTATCACCTGAGTCCAGTTACCGCTTACCAGGGCTGCAGGTGGCGTGTGCACGTGTGTATGTGGCTGGAATGGCGGGGGTGTGGTGGGCGGGGATAGTGACTAAATAGTGTCTGAATAGTGACTGGAATTCCTCCTGGCCCTGATTCTCGGATCTCAAATAACAGAAGTGGCTGCGAATATTATAATCGATTTAATCTATATAAGGGGGGGAACTAACAGCAGTTAGCGTAATGGCTATGTCGCTGGACTCCCACATAGTCGACCGCGGTTCGCGTCCCGGACCCGGTGGCTTAAAACTCATGCTGTGCGCGTGTGCATGCGTGCCCAAGATCCCAAGAGGAGAATGGAGGAGAAGGGATTGCTGCGTGGCCATCCCCCCTGGGGGGTGATTTCTCGCTTTCTTTCTCTCTGTCTCTCTCTGTCTGTCTGGCGAGCACATGCGCCCTATAGCAAAAACCTCTCAAAAAAAAAAAAATCTATATCATAAGGTTCCAGCTGGAGCATTCCCTTCAATGCTGTGGGGACTGCCCACGTGTGGCTCCCACATTGCTCCTCAGAGCTTAGGTGGTGGGGGTGGTCTCCCTTTCAGGTCTCCCCTGGCCTATGTTTCCTTTGTCTGAATCATTGGCCTTCTCATTGGAGGGGGAGAGGGAAGGTCCGCACCAAGAACTGAACTGGACTCTCCTGCGATTTGTTGTCTAAAGTCTTCACCAACTAAATACCCAGCCAGGAGCGTTCTCATTAATTAGCCTATGGCCCGTACCACCCTACTCTGAACACTGTGTCCATGCAGGAGACCCATTTCCATCCTCCCATCTTCATCTGGGAATGCCTGGAAGGCTGAGCATTTGGTCTTTTTGAACACTTGGCTCACATCTCGCTTGTTGAAGCTCTTCAGCCTTTGCAAGTGCTGGTCCCTCCATGCCATGACCTTCAGAGCAGTCAGGCTTCTGGGTTTTATCAACCAGCTTTCTCTCTTGCAAAGTTCACATCAAAACTCTTCTTCGTGCAGAGAGGCGGTGTACAGAGGTAGAGAACAGGGCTACACACTCGAAGCAGTTGTTCAGACTCTGGCTCTGCCACTTTTTTTTTTTTTTGGAGAGGTTTTTGCTATAAGGCGTGTGCACTCGCCAGACAGAGGGAGAGAGTCAGAGCGAA